CGTGTCTGCTGAAAACCCCCGGCCCCAGTGCTCCCCAGGTCCGGGTCCTAGAAGGACGCCTCGCAGGCTCCGTGGCAGTGCGTGCGCCAAGTTCTCTGCTGCGGCTGGGGCTGCCGCACACCCAGTGGGGTGTAGGGTGTGTGCGTCGCTTTAGATGATTTGCATCCATATAATTTAACTTTTCTTTTCTAACCAACATCAGTTAAAAGCCTCCAGGCCCACTTCCATTCCTCTTACCTCCCACTGGGAAATTTCTTCCCACTTCAAGCTGTGGAGTGTCTCTTACCTTGAGACACAGGCGAAGAGATGAGTAGAAAGCGTAGAAGCCCCTGCATGCAGGGTTGCAGATTTAGGAAATAAAAGTACCAGGTGCCCATAAACCTGAACGGAAGGGAATCGATGGTGCTGTGCTGTTCATTGGGTTTCCTCTCTAACCGAGCAGCCCGCCCTGCAGGCCCCCGTGCCTGGCAGTGATGCCATGGAAACCGATTTCCATGGTCTGCGCAGCCCTGTTTCTCGGCTGCCTTGTAAGCACACCGGCTCATCTCCCCGTCCGCTTGGCCCTCCGACAGGTGGAACTGCACCTGCCGCTGCGGGTCCCGTGGGCCGGCAGCTACGTGGTCGTGGTCGAGTATTCCACGGAGGCAGAGCAGATGTCTGTGGCCGATGTGCACGTGGGGAGCCCGGGGCCGGGCCTGGCCGGCCAGGTGACCATCTACAGCTGCCAGCACAGGTATCAGGCCTGCCCGGGGGTTCCTCTAGCGGGGCCGGCGGGAGGTCAGCTGAGGGACTTTGGTTTTCATCGGGATGGAAAGTGGTTCCTTTGTGAGGCTGCTCTTGGTTACGTGATCGAACGTCACCTCGCAGCGTGGGGGCCGGCAGGCTTCTCGTCGGCAGTGCCTGGAAAGCGCCGCAGTTTCTTGAAAAACGGTTGTACTTTCCATGTTGATGTTGGCGCAGGTTCCCAGGAAGCAACATAACCTCTATATTGTCCTCGCTGGCGCCCCCTGTGTGCCCAGGGAAGTGCTCGCAGAGAGCAGGGTGTGGCGCTGGGAAAGGCGTCCATCTCGCCTGCCCTCCCAGTGCCCTTCAGAGGTGGAGGTCATGCATGTTGGATGATCGTCGGGAGGAAAATGACGGGACAGAGGATTTTAATGTTTCGCCCTGATGTTCCACTTTCCAAGAGCTCTGACCAGGATTTACTAACAGCTCTTTCCTTCCAGCTGGTTTGGCTCAGTGGATAGAGCATCGGCCTGCGGAACAAGGGTTCCGGGTTTGATTCCGCTCAAGGGCACATGCCCTGGTTGCAGGCTCCTCCCCAGCCCGGGCCCTGGTTGGGGCTCACACAGGAGGCAACCAATCCATGTGGTTCTCCCACATCCATGCTTCTCTCTGTCTCTCCCTCTCTCTCCCATTCTCCCTAAAAATCAATGGAAACATATCCTCGGGTGAGGATTAAAAAAAAAGTTGTTTCCTTGGCGTAACATTTCAGAACAAACAGAGGCAGCTGAGCAGAGCTGGCTGCACATGGAGAGCCAGTGCCAGGGGTTCCCCAGGACGCTCACCGAGGCCCTGGGAGTCGGAGGCAGCAGGTGGGAGCGGCACGGACCACCCAGCTCAGGGCCGAGCCTGGAACCTTCTGCTGCCTCTGCTTCCCTGTTGCCTTTGTCCAACCCGGGATGCCCTGGGAGCTGGACGCGCTCCCTGTTTCGCAAATGAAAGAACTTGTGGAAAGAGTTGCTTTGAGCAGCTTCGGGTGGAAACTTTTATGAGACTTGATGAGAGGTCACTGAGTTCACATCACACTCTCAGCCAGCCTCGCAAATAAGCAATGAAGGCTTCCTCCTTTTAAAAATCTTAAAAAAAAAAATCCAGTCCACCCCTTTCTCTGGGCTGATGACTTAAAAACCAAAGAATATAAATAATCGCATTTGGATTTGTAATAGGGGCACCAGATGGGCAAAGAAAGTCCCCCGGAATGTTCTTCCATGATCGGAAAACAGTTTCCTCTCCAGGTGATGTCAGCAACCACTGGAATGTACACTCCCGGTGGGTGGGTCACCCCAGGAATCCCAGTGACTGGGCCATAGGGCCTGGGGCCAGGCTCCTTCATGCCCTGTCTGTCCCGCCCGCCCTCCAGCTCAGCGCTCCCTCCAGGCACAGGGCCGGTCCCTCCCCCACAGGACACAGAGTAGGGATGGTCAAGAGCCACAGGCAGCTTCCCGAAGGCCTGGCAGCTCTGAGTCACTCCGGGCGAGGCTGCGACTACCCAGACCCAGCAGAGGAGTGAGTTCAAAGCCCAGGAAGAGAGGGCGCCTCCCGGGGTTCCCTAGCACCAACTCACGGCCTCTGTCTGGACGACACGTGGGGGGAAGAGCCGTGAGACCCTCTGCAGGTGCTTCTGGCCGTGGACAGGCCAGCACCCGCGTGCCCACCCGCAGGCCCCCGGTCAGGCCCAACACAGTGTTGCATGGACTGGGAGTCCCTGTTGCTGTGTTCGGCCACTCCCGGAGGCTCATGGTATTGATTCTCTGGCTAAAATAGTTCCCTTCTCTGCTTGCCTGCTACGTGGCCAATGAACAGGCTACATAGACCACAGTCCAAAGAGGTGCAATTGGACAACATTTAACCCAGAAATACCTATTTCAAACGTCAGCCCTTCAGCATTGCAGCATCTCCTGCTGAGGTCGGGACCCTTGCCAGCCTCACTCCAGCGACTTCCATGTCGTTAACAAGATCCCAGCAGGAGAGCAGGGGTTCTGGTGGGGGCGCCATTTTTCAAAATAGAGCTGTGATGAATCTGCTAAGAGAGGCGGTCACTCACGATTCAACCAATCCAGGTATTTCTGTTAGTCTAGTCTTGGAAAGATAAGGCCAAATCTAAACCTAAGCAGACGACTGAATATATTTACTTCCAGAATTCTGCTGGAATCCAAGAAGACGGCATTTAGTGGACACGCACGCACACCTCCACGCACGCGACCCACACGCACACCTCCACGCACGCGACCCACACGCACGCGACCCGCACGCACACCACCCACACGCACACCTCCACGCACTCGACCCCCACGCACACGACCCCCACGCACACCTCCATGCACGTGAACAGAAAGGAAGAGAGAATGACTGTTCATTGAGTTGCTAAATATGCCACAAACTGTGTTGATCCTTTATACACCATCTCATTTTAGCCCTCACCCCAAAAGTCATTGCATAAATTATTTCAAATACAGGGTTGGGCAAACGTAGGTTTACCATTGTGAGTACGCAAAACACAGACTTCATGCTTGTGTTACTGTTTATTGTATCATTTTCTGCATGAGTAACTGTAAGCCTACTTTTGCCCCACCCTGTGTTTCCCAGAGATGGTCATTGTTTCAGGGTGTCACTCGTTCCAAATTATATTCGAAGATAGAAAAATTGCTGCAGAGCCCGGCCCATGGCTCAGTGGTGGAGCGTCAACCTATGAACCAAGAGATCATGGTTCAACTCCCAGTCAGGCCACAAGCATGGGTTGTGGGTTAGATACCCAGTGTGGGGCAGGCAGGAGGCAGCCTCTCACTGATGTCTCTCTCTTTTCTTCTCTGAAAGCAATAAAAATATATTTAAAAAAGAAGAAGGAAATTTGCTAGAGTCTGAAGTCAGAAGCATTCCTCAAAAAACACTTCGGTTATGGGTTCCACCATTACAATGTATTCTTGGTTCAAAACTGTGACCCTTTATTTATTTATTTATTTATTTTGTTAAATGCAGCCTCTCACTGATGTCTCTCTCTTTTCTTCTCTGAAAGCAATAAAAATATATTTAAAAAAGAAGAAGGAAATTTGCTAGAGTCTGAAGTCAGAAGCATTCCTCAAAAAACACTTCGGTTATGGGTTCCACCATTACAATGTATTCTTGGTTCAAAACTGTGACCCTTTATTTATTTATTTATTTATTTATTTGTTAAATTTCTAATTCTCACCCAAGGATATTTTTTTCCATTGGCTTTTGAGAGAAAGTAAAGAGAGGGAGGAGAAGGGAGAGAGAGGGAGAGGGAGAGGGAGAGGGAGAGGGAGAGAGAGAGAGACATCAATGTGAGAGAGACCCATGGGTTGGTTGCCTCCTGCGTGCACCCTGACTGGAGTAGGGGATCACATCGCACCCGAGGTACGTGCCTGTGACTGGAATGGAACCTGGACCTTGGGCCCACGGGCTAACTGTAACCACTGGGCAAAACTGGCCAAGGCAAAACCAGACCTTTTCAGTGTTCCTGGACTTGGCCTGATGGGACGGAGGGAAGGCGCTGGTAGAAATGGGGCAGGAGGAGGAGCCGCCTGGGCTTCCAGAGGCTCTGGGTGCCTCAGGGCATTGGGCACACCTCCACGCTCCCTCAGGCCGTGGGAGGTGGTGGCGGGGCCAGTGGGCAGCACCATGGCCACCAGTACGAGGACGTGGGCGACTCTTGCAGAGGCTGTGCCTTAAAGGCAGACAGTACCGGCCCTGGGCTGTCGTCCAACAGCTACACCTCGTTCCCATGGAGAAGGTGAGCAGGGCGTTCAGCCTGAGGGTCAGCTCAGCCGTGGGGAGGCCCTTCCCAGCTGGGCTGCATCCTTCACGCTCAGCTCAGTGCAGGGGAGTTCTCGGCTGGCCACCAGGCCATCGACAGCAGAGCCTGAAGAGCCACCAGCCACCTGCAGGAAGGCGCCCAGGGAGGGGCCAGGGAGTCGGCTGAGCCAACTGTCTCCTCCTGCAGCGTCCTGTGCCGGAGCGCCCTGACCGACGGCCGGGGCCGCCTGGCCACCTACGAGCTGCTTGCTGACGCGGACGTCCGGCTCAGAGTCCGCAGCGCCCGGCTCCTCCTGGTATGTATGCCCGTGGGGCTACCAGCCACCTGCAGGAAGGCGCCCAGGGAGGGGCCAGGGAGTCGGCTGAGCCAACTGTCTCCTCCTGCAGCGTCCTGTGCCGGAGCGCCCTGACCGACGGCCGGGGCCGCCTGGCCACCTACGAGCTGCTTGCTGACGCGGACGTCCGGCTCAGAGTCCGCAGCGCCCGGCTCCTCCTGGTATGTATGCCCGTGGGGCTTATTTCATTTGTGTGTGTGTGTGTGTGTGTTGTGTGTGTGGTGTGAATCCTCCCCCGAGGATATTTTTCCATTGATTTTCAGAGCGAGTGTGAGAGAGACACATCAGTTGGTTGCCTCCTGCATGCACCCAGACCAGGGCCAGGAATCTAGCCTGCAACCGAGGTACGTGCCCTTGACCAGAATCGAACCCAGGACCCTTTAGTCTGTGGGCTGACGCTTTACCCACTGAGCCACACCAGCTAGGGCCCCATTGGGTTTTAGAAGCATTTGGTTGATATCTATGCTCTTAAAAATAAGCTTATTAAAAATGTGGCTGTTTTTTTTTTTTACATCTATAACATTAGCCCTGTGAAGTATGGCCAGTTGTATGATGTTTATTCTTCCAACTAGAAATCTGGCCTCTCCTTTGTTTGAGCCATTTTTAGAACACTCGGTCAAGTTTGATCATCACATATGAGCACATCTCACAAAACCTCATTTCATTAATTTGTACTCATTGTTACTGTTGTGAATGAAATGACGCTTGTACCATTTCCTCGCTTATTAGTATCGCTGGTGTGGAGGAATGCATTAGTGACTGTGTCTATTCTTCCTCATTTTACTGTTTTATTACGTCTATTGGCATCTTGGCAAATTCCTTCAGAGTTTCAAAGGTTGGAATCATCTGGTATTACCCCCAGACCAGTGGTCGGCAAACTCATTAGTCAACAGAGCCAAATATCAACAGTACAATGATTGAAATTTCTTTTGAGAGCCAAATTTCTTAAACTTAAACTATATAGGTAGGTACATTGTTATGAACTTAATTAGGGTACTCCTAAGGCTTAGGGAGAGCCACACTCAAGGGGCCAAAGAGCCGCATGTGGCTCACGAGCCGCAGTTTGCCGACCACGGCCCCAGGTGATTGCTACTCTATTTCACAAAGAGCGTGACTCTGTTAACTTGAGTGTAATGTTAAGACTGACAATGGCAGCGTTGCAGGTTAAATGTACGCATGTCCACCTGTCAGTAGCACAGCTGACGTGTGAGGGTTTGACAAACAGGCAGTGAGGCCTGCGCTGGGAGGGAGCGGCCAGATTTACATGAAGGTCTCAGGGGACGGAAAAGTCCAAAGTGTGAAGCACTTCCTGGGGCGGCTAACATCCAGCACGCACACCCGGGAGCCCGCGGCCGTGCCCGCCTCCTGCGTTTTCAAGATGCCTGCTCGACCGTAGTAAAGCCTTGGCGCTTTCTTTAAAGAAGCACCTGGGATTCAGTTTTTAAAAATTATTCTAAAGTATATAATCACTTAAGACCTTCTTTTTAAAATTACAAATCTCTTTTTAAGCGTAACAATCCAATTGACTCTTAACCTCTTCATCTTTGGAAGTTGGGATGGGGCTGAATCTTCATCTTTTTTTAATCCTTGCCAGAGGATATGTTTATTAACGTTTTTAGGGAGAGAGAGAGAGAGAAACATCAATGTGAGAGAGAAACATCGATCGATTGCCTCCTGTACGTACCCCTACGAGGATCCAACCCTCAACCTACGTATGTGCTCTGACCCGGAATCAAACCCGTGACCTTTTTGGTGTTGGGACGATGCTCCAGCTGACTGAGCCGCTGGCCGGGGCTGTATCTTCCTTTTGACACATACGTTTGCCCTTTTGAAATAGTCCAGTGTCCTGCCTGAGAATATAAGCTCCTGAGGGCAGGGATGTTGTCTGTCTTGCAGGATCCCCCAGTCTCAGTGCCTCACAAGTAGCAGATGTTCAATAAAAATCGTTGCTACTGAACAGCTTTATGATCAAGCTGGCAATACAGTGTTGATCTAAGCTGGAGTATGTTGGTAAGTTAAAAACTGAGTTTTTTGTGACTCAAAACTAGCTCTGGAGACAGTTCCTTCAGCGAAAGCCCCCTGTGCCGAAGTCTGAGTCATCCTCTGTGAAGCAGGATTGTTTGCAGCAGGAGCGGCCCTCGCTGGGCGCTGGCGTAGCAGGCTCCTGGATGCCCACCACGCCCCCCGCCTCTCGACACGACCTTGTCCCTTTATATCATTGTTCCAGGGCACGTTCGTTCGTGACCTTGAGCAAGCCCAGAAAGGATTAGTTGCACATGATGCTGTAGGAGTCCCATCGTGCACTTTTTACTACTTTAAAGTAACAACGATAATTTCTCTGGATGAATTCTTTACCCAAAGGCTTTTTTATTATTTTTATTCTTAAAAATATATTTCTATTGATTTCAGAGAGGAAGGGAGAGGGAGAGAGAATCATTGATTGGCTGCCTCCTGTGCGCCCCCTACTGGGGATCAAGCCCACAACCCGGGCATGTGCCCTGACCAGGAACCGAACGGTGGCCGCCTGGGTCACAGAGCCACGGTGCCTGGGCCCTAACAGCCTTTTTAAAGCCTGCACTTGACCTTGCCATGGTTTTGCTGGTAACTGCAACATACCTCTTTGCACTGTGTTTGCCCGACAGCATCAGATTTGTATCATTCCCATCGAAGAATTCTCAACGGAATATTTGAAACCTCAAGTGAGATGCATCGCCAGTTACGGGCCATTGGCGAACCAAAGGTAACGCGCTTTCTCCCTCTGTCCCTGTGTGTGCTCCCTGTGTGTGCTCCCTGTGTGGGCTCCCTGTGTGTGCTCCCTGTGTGGGCTCCCTGTGTGTGCTCCCTGTGTGGGCTCCCTGTGTGTGCTCCCTGTGTGGGCTCCCTGTGTGTGCTCCCTGTGTGGGCTCCCTGTGTGTGCTCCCTGTGTGGGCTCCCTGTGTGTGCTCCCTGTGTGGGCTCCCTGTGTGTGCTCCCTGTGTGGGCTCCCTGTGTGTGCTCCCTGTGTGGGCTCCCTGTGTGTGCTCCCTGTGTGGGCTCCCTGTGTGTGCTCCCTGTGTGGGCTCCCTGTGTGTGCTCCCTGTGTGGGCTCCCTGTGTGTGCTCCCTGTGTGGGCTCCCTGTGTGTGCTCCCTGTGTGGGCTCCCTGTGTGTGCTCCCTGTGTGGGCTCCCTGTGTGTGCTCCCTGTGTGGGCTCCCTGTGTGTGCTCCCTGTGTGGGCTCCCTGTGTGTGCTCCCTGTGTGGGCTCCCTGTGTGTGCTCCCTGTGTGGGCTCCCTGTGTGTGCTCCCTGTGTGGGCTCCCTGTGTGTGCTCCCTGTGTGGGCTCCCTGTGTGTGCTCCCTGTGTGGGCTCCCTGTGTGTGCTCCCTGTGTGGGCTCCCTGTGTGTGCTCCCTGTGTGGGCTCCCTGTGTGTGCTCCCTGTGTGGGCTCCCTGTGTGTGCTCCCTGTGTGGGCTCCCTGTGTGTGCTCCCTGTGTGGGCTCCCTGTGTGTGCTCCCTGTGTGGGCTCCCTGTGTGTGCTCCCTGTGTGGGCTCCCTGTGTGTGCTCCCTGTGTGGGCTCCCTGTGTGTGCTCCCTGTGTGGGCTCCCTGTGTGTGCTCCCTGTGTGGGCTCCCTGTGTGTGCTCCCTGTGTGGGCTCCCTGTGTGTGCTCCCTGTGTGGGCTCCCTGTGTGTGCTCCCTGTGTGGGCTCCCTGTGTGTGCTCCCTGTGTGGGCTCCCTGTGTGTGCTCCCTGTGTGGGCTCCCTGTGTGTGCTCCCTGTGTGGGCTCCCTGTGTGTGCTCCCTGTGTGGGCTCCCTGTGTGTGCTCCCTGTGTGGGCTCCCTGTGTGTGCTCCCTGTGTGGGCTCCCTGTGTGTGCTCCCTGTGTGGGCTCCCTGTGTGTGCTCCCTGTGTGGGCTCCCTGTGTGTGCTCCCTGTGTGGGCTCCCTGTGTGTGCTCCCTGTGTGGGCTCCCTGTGTGTGCTCCCTGTGTGGGCTCCCTGTGTGTGCTCCCTGTGTGGGCTCCCTGTGTGTGCTCCCTGTGTGGGCTCCCTGTGTGTGCTCCCTGTGTGGGCTCCCTGTGTGTGCTCCCTGTGTGGGCTCCCTGTGTGTGCTCCCTGTGTGGGCTCCCTGTGTGTGCTCCCTGTGTGGGCTCCCTGTGTGTGCTCCCTGTGTGGGCTCCCTGTGTGTGCTCCCTGTGTGGGCTCCCTGTGTGTGCTCCCTGTGTGGGCTCCCTGTGTGTGCTCCCTGTGTGGGCTCCCTGTGTGTGCTCCCTGTGTGGGCTCCCTGTGTGTGCTCCCTGTGTGGGCTCCCTGTGTGTGCTCCCTGTGTGGGCTCCCTGTGTGTGCTCCCTGTGTGGGCTCCCTGTGTGTGCTCCCTGTGTGGGCTCCCTGTGTGTGCTCCCTGTGTGGGCTCCCTGTGTGTGCTCCCTGTGTGGGCTCCCTGTGTGTGCTCCCTGTGTGGGCTCCCTGTGTGTGCTCCCTGTGTGGGCTCCCTGTGTGTGCTCCCTGTGTGGGCTCCCTGTGTGTGCTCCCTGTGTGGGCTCCCTGTGTGTGCTCCCTGTGTGGGCTCCCTGTGTGTGCTCCCTGTGTGGGCTCCCTGTGTGTGCTCCCTGTGTGGGCTCCCTGTGTGTGCTCCCTGTGTGGGCTCCCTGTGTGTGCTCCCTGTGTGGGCTCCCTGTGTGTGCTCCCTGTGTGGGCTCCCTGTGTGTGCTCCCTGTGTGGGCTCCCTGTGTGTGCTCCCTGTGTGGGCTCCCTGTGTGTGCTCCCTGTGTGGGCTCCCTGTGTGTGCTCCCTGTGTGGGCTCCCTGTGTGTGCTCCCTGTGTGGGCTCCCTGTGTGTGCTCCCTGTGTGGGCTCCCTGTGTGTGCTCCCTGTGTGGGCTCCCTGTGTGTGCTCCCTGTGTGGGCTCCCTGTGTGTGCTCCCTGTGTGGGCTCCCTGTGTGTGCTCCCTGTGTGGGCTCCCTGTGTGTGCTCCCTGTGTGGGCTCCCTGTGTGTGCTCCCTGTGTGGGCTCCCTGTGTGTGCTCCCTGTGTGGGCTCCCTGTGTGTGCTCCCTGTGTGGGCTCCCTGTGTGTGCTCCCTGTGTGGGCTCCCTGTGTGTGCTCCCTGTGTGGGCTCCCTGTGTGTGCTCCCTGTGTGGGCTCCCTGTGTGTGCTCCCTGTGTGGGCTCCCTGTGTGTGCTCCCTGTGTGGGCTCCCTGTGTGTGCTCCCTGTGTGGGCTCCCTGTGTGTGCTCCCTGTGTGGGCTCCCTGTGTGTGCTCCCTGTGTGGGCTCCCTGTGTGTGCTCCCTGTGTGGGCTCCCTGTGTGTGCTCCCTGTGTGGGCTCCCTGTGTGTGCTCCCTGTGTGGGCTCCCTGTGTGTGCTCCCTGTGTGGGCTCCCTGTGTGTGCTCCCTGTGTGGGCTCCCTGTGTGTGCTCCCTGTGTGGGCTCCCTGTGTGTGCTCCCTGTGTGGGCTCCCTGTGTGTGCTCCCTGTGTGGGCTCCCTGTGTGTGCTCCCTGTGTGGGCTCCCTGTGTGTGCTCCCTGTGTGGGCTCCCTGTGTGTGCTCCCTGTGTGGGCTCCCTGTGTGTGCTCCCTGTGTGGGCTCCCTGTGTGTGCTCCCTGTGTGGGCTCCCTGTGTGTGCTCCCTGTGTGGGCTCCCTGTGTGTGCTCCCTGTGTGGGCTCCCTGTGTGTGCTCCCTGTGTGGGCTCCCTGTGTGTGCTCCCTGTGTGGGCTCCCTGTGTGTGCTCCCTGTGTGGGCTCCCTGTGTGTGCTCCCTGTGTGGGCTCCCTGTGTGTGCTCCCTGTGTGGGCTCCCTGTGTGTGCTCCCTGTGTGGGCTCCCTGTGTGTGCTCCCTGTGTGGGCTCCCTGTGTGTGCTCCCTGTGTGGGCTCCCTGTGTGTGCTCCCTGTGTGGGCTCCCTGTGTGTGCTCCCTGTGTGGGCTCCCTGTGTGTGCTCCCTGTGTGGGCTCCCTGTGTGTGCTCCCTGTGTGGGCTCCCTGTGTGTGCTCCCTGTGTGGGCTCCCTGTGTGTGCTCCCTGTGTGGGCTCCCTGTGTGTGCTCCCTGTGTGGGCTCCCTGTGTGTGCTCCCTGTGTGGGCTCCCTGTGTGTGCTCCCTGTGTGGGCTCCCTGTGTGTGCTCCCTGTGTGGGCTCCCTGTGTGTGCTCCCTGTGTGGGCTCCCTGTGTGTGCTCCCTGTGTGGGCTCCCTGTGTGTGCTCCCTGTGTGGGCTCCCTGTGTGTGCTCCCTGTGTGGGCTCCCTGTGTGTGCTCCCTGTGTGGGCTCCCTGTGTGTGCTCCCTGTGTGGGCTCCCTGTGTGTGCTCCCTGTGTGGGCTCCCTGTGTGTGCTCCCTGTGTGGGCTCCCTGTGTGTGCTCCCTGTGTGGGCTCCCTGTGTGTGCTCCCTGTGTGGGCTCCCTGTGTGTGCTCCCTGTGTGGGCTCCCTGTGTGTGCTCCCTGTGTGGGCTCCCTGTGTGTGCTCCCTGTGTGGGCTCCCTGTGTGTGCTCCCTGTGTGGGCTCCCTGTGTGTGCTCCCTGTGTGGGCTCCCTGTGTGTGCTCCCTGTGTGGGCTCCCTGTGTGTGCTCCCTGTGTGGGCTCCCTGTGTGTGCTCCCTGTGTGGGCTCCCTGTGTGTGCTCCCTGTGTGGGCTCCCTGTGTGTGCTCCCTGTGTGGGCTCCCTGTGTGTGCTCCCTGTGTGGGCTCCCTGTGTGTGCTCCCTGTGTGGGCTCCCTGTGTGTGCTCCCTGTGTGGGCTCCCTGTGTGTGCTCCCTGTGTGGGCTCCCTGTGTGTGCTCCCTGTGTGGGCTCCCTGTGTGTGCTCCCTGTGTGGGCTCCCTGTGTGTGCTCCCTGTGTGGGCTCCCTGTGTGTGCTCCCTGTGTGGGCTCCCTGTGTGTGCTCCCTGTGTGGGCTCCCTGTGTGTGCTCCCTGTGTGGGCTCCCTGTGTGTGCTCCCTGTGTGGGCTCCCTGTGTGTGCTCCCTGTGTGGGCTCCCTGTGTGTGCTCCCTGTGTGGGCTCCCTGTGTGTGCTCCCTGTGTGGGCTCCCTGTGTGTGCTCCCTGTGTGGGCTCCCTGTGTGTGCTCCCTGTGTGGGCTCCCTGTGTGTGCTCCCTGTGTGGGCTCCCTGTGTGTGCTCCCTGTGTGGGCTCCCTGTGTGTGCTCCCTGTGTGGGCTCCCTGTGTGTGCTCCCTGTGTGGGCTCCCTGTGTGTGCTCCCTGTGTGGGCTCCCTGTGTGTGCTCCCTGTGTGGGCTCCCTGTGTGTGCTCCCTGTGTGGGCTCCCTGTGTGTGCTCCCTGTGTGGGCTCCCTGTGTGTGCTCCCTGTGTGGGCTCCCTGTGTGTGCTCCCTGTGTGGGCTCCCTGTGTGTGCTCCCTGTGTGGGCTCCCTGTGTGTGCTCCCTGTGTGGGCTCCCTGTGTGTGCTCCCTGTGTGGGCTCCCTGTGTGTGCTCCCTGTGTGGGCTCCCTGTGTGTGCTCCCTGTGTGGGCTCCCTGTGTGTGCTCCCTGTGTGCCTGTGTGTGCTCCCTCTATCCCTGTGTGTGCTCAGCGTGATACTGTCGTGCCTGTAAGGTTGCGACTTCCTGCTGCAGAAGTGCCCGCAGGTCAAGGTGGTGAGTGTGACAGACAGACAACCAGCTAGCTCACTGACCGCAGGAGTCTGTGCAGAGCCCTGTAAGAGCAGGAGGCCGAGCCAGTGGCTGGGGCAATGAGCCCAGCCCCATGGCCGGTACCTGAGTTCTGTTCTGAACCCTGCGGACTCACTCTGTCCTAATCCTTCAATCCTGTGTCTGAGGCTCTTCACTTAAAAAGCCATGAAAGCAGTGACCCGCCTCACCACGGTGTTATGAGGTTTGCTAACGACAGCTTATAGGGTTTTGGCAGAGTTGTTTGGATGTAGATTCAAACATAATTTATAGACAGTCATGCAAGCTGTGCCACAGCAGGACTGGAGCCGGGCGGTGAGATCTGGCTGTGCCTAGGGGGTGACTGGGGTAGTTCTCTGGGCTCCACAGTTTTATGTCACCTTGGCGGGTAGAGGTGAATAATAATGTTCGCTGCGTTGATCTCACTTAACAGTTTTCATCTCGAAGGGAAGTGAGTGTCTGTCGGTTCTCTCCCTCAGCATGAAGCTTTGTCTTTCTGTTTTGGCTCATTGTTTTGATTGGGCGGCTGGAGTGCCCTTTGGTCCCCACAGCTTATGCTCAGAGTCTGTATCTTCACCAACGGGCAGTTCTCCTTTGGGGTTCTCTTTAATACGAGATTTAAAATACCCTCCTTTTCAGGGCCACGTGCCTCTCCGTGTCCCCCGAAACTCCTCCAGCAGCACTGATTTTGGATGCCCCACCTGGGGGGCCTCCCCCTCTCCCGCCCCAGGATCCTTCTCCTTCCACTGATGTGGTTACTGGCATCACCATGGAGGCACCGCAGGTAGGACACCCTCCTCTCCCAAGTGTGTTGTTTCGAAGCGAGTGGTTCTCAAAGTGTGTGGCCCTGACCCAGCGGCATCCGTGCCACCTGGGAACGTGATAGAAATGCAGATTCGGCCGGCGTGACTCAGTGGCTGAGTGTTGACCTATGAACCAGGAGGTCACAGTTCCATTCCCGGTCAGGGCACATGCCCGGGTTGTGGGCTGGATTCTCAGTGAGGGCTGTGCAGGAGGCAGCCGATCCATGATTCTCTCTCATTGATGTTTCTATCTCTCTCTCCCTTCCTCTCTGAATCAATTAAAATATTTTTTTTTTAAAAAAAGAAAGAAATGCAGATTCATCAGCCCCATCTCAGAGCTACGGACTTTGAGTCTTTGGAGGGATCTGTGTTTTCACAACCCTCCCCAGGAGTTCAGATGCCCCTGCAGTTGGCGAGCCTCTGATCTCAGCTGTGGAGGTTCCAGGCGCAAGGCGTCTGATGGATCCTGTCCATGCCACCCCTCCGATCTCTCTGTCCCTCCTGCTTCTCCGCCTGAGGCAGTGAGCAAGTTCATGGCCCATCTTGTGGTACCTCATATTTTCACGGTTCTTTGCTGTCTGACACTGTCAGGCTCATTATGTCCCCCAAGCTGGAATGCAGGCACTTTTAGGACAGCGACGGTGGCTGACAACGTTCTTGTATCACCAGCTGCACAAGCACAATTTGCAGGAAGGATATTCTCGGTAAACACGTCTTGGTTAGTCTTCTCGAGCAGCCATTTCCCACCTGCTCATCTCATGGCACACAACTAACTGCTCAAATCCCGCGGCACACCAGAAGATTCAGTCTGACAGAGATAGGTGTAATTTTGGTTGATTTACAAAAAAATAATAGTAGTAGTAATTATCTACCCTCTTTGCTCCAAAGTGACTTTTTTAAAAAATCAGGTGCCTATACTTGTATAATAAGGATTTCTGGTTCCAAGAATTAACCAATCAAATGCAACCTTATTATGCAATGTGAGCAATAAGATGCAGTTCTATTATTTGACTTATACTGTGTTTATGGTTCAAGACAGGGCAGTCACACCAGACACTATTGTTGTGTTGGCTATTGTTGTTTTTTTAATGTTCTTAGTGACTTTTTTTTTTTTGAGAGAGAGAAGAAGGGAGAGGGGGAGAGAGAGAAACATCAATGGGGAGAGAGAATCACTGATCAGCGGCCTCCTGCACGCCCCACACTGGGGATCGAGCCTGCAACCCAGGTATGTGTCCTGACTGGGAACGGAACCCGGGACCTCCTGGTTCCTAGGTCGACACTCAACCACTGAGCCACACTGGCTCCTCATGACCTGGTTGTTACCATAGTGACTGAACGCTGAGAACGTTCTGTGCAGCCGTTTGACAAGCATGCTGTGCATCCTGTTGGCGGGCATTAAGACCTGAAACTGTCAGTTAGTTATATGTTCCACTTTGGCAAAAGCTGCCACACAGTTTCCCAACGTGACCACCAAATCCCCCCCCCATCCCATCGAGGTGGCACCTCCGCAGGCCAGCTGCTCTCGGCTGACGCAGGGGAAGCGGCTGCAACGTCCCGGTGGAGGCGTTCACTTCCCTCGGCAAACCCCTGCTCACTTTGGTTTTAACCTGGAACTTCCTGCGATTCTGATTGCTCATCGCTCTACAGCTCGAGGAGTTTGTTTTTCTCCTTTTCCTCCTAGAGCCAAGTGACCCTGAGAGGACGCGTGCCACGCCCCGGCCGCTACGTCATCGTCATCCACTTCTACCAGCCAGCACACCCGGCGTTCCCCGTGGAGGTGTCTGTGGATGGAGGGCGGCGCTGGCCAGGTGAGCAGCGGGAGCTCCGCTGCTGCCCCTGGTCTCCCAGGGCCTTGCAGGGCGTGACAGGACCCCTCTCTGCCCAGGCGTCTTCCGTGCCTCCTTCTGTCCCCACGTGCTGGGCTGCCAGGACCAGGCCATCACCGGAGACCAGGCTGAGTTCACCGTCTGGGAGCCAGAGGTGGCTGTGACTGTGAAGGTTCCGGAAGGAAAGTCCTTAGTGCTGGTGCGTGTGTGTGTCCCCAGCTCCATCTCCGCATGACGTCCATCCTGTGGGTCTGTGTGTTTGGCTCATGACGACCATTCCTCCAAGGAATTGAGGTCACGGATATACATTTTAGTATATTTTTATTGATTTCAGAGAGGAGGGGAGAGAGAGGGAGACAGAAGCATCAATGATGAGAGAGAATCATGGATCTGCTGCCTCCTGCACGCTCCCTACTGGGGATCCAGCCCACAACCCGGGCATGTGCCCTGACCAGGAATTGAACATGACCTCCTGATTCATAGGTCAATGCTCAACCACTGAGCCACGCCGGCCAGACATGAAGTCATATTTATAGGAAAATGTTTAAATCTTACAGCTACCTGTTAACAACAAAAAAGTGTGTGATAATTAAAATCGAGGGAAACTGGAATAACAGAGGACAAATATGAAGAAAATATGCCCGAGCGAGCTCTGCTGAGCCTCGTGCTCCACCAGCCCCCCCTCTCCCTCCGCCAGCCCCCCTCACTCCACCCTCCGCCAGCCCCCCTCGCCCTCCGCCTGGTCTCTCTGAAGCTGGGAGACCCCTCTGTTCCTGAAACTTCCCCTCCTGGGCTCCCATGGCTCTCTTCTCTGCTTATCTGCCTGCTTTCTCTAATGCTCTCCCGTGATCTCTCCTTCCCTTCGGCCCCACATGTTGGCGCTCCCCTGGGTGGGAGCTGAGCCCTTGTCCATCATCTCCCTCCGTGCAGCCTCCTCTGCACCTGCCAATTCGGTTGGGTCCTCATGGGAGGGGCACCCTCCCCCGTGGATTCATCTCCGCTTCCTCCTGAGCTCCAGGCCCAATATGGGAGCATCGGCTGCACATCTCCATCCCAGAGACCTTACATGCCCCAAACCTGGCCTGTGCCCTGCACAGCCCCGGTGTCCCCACTGTGCCCATCACCTGGATTGCTGGAGCCACAGTCGCCGATGCCCAGGGGCTTCCCACGGGGCCTTCCATGGAGCCGGGCTACCCTGCGCCCTCAGGCCTGGCCCTGCCCCGCTCTGAGGAGGAGGTCGCCTTCCTCGGGACGGGGCCTGAACTGAGTCATTGTGTCTCCCGGTGCCTGGCACACCGGGCCCGTGGGCTTGGCAAGTGTTTGTTGAGTTGCATGACATGAGACCAGTGGGGTCTCTAAGTGCAGGTCGCTGAGCAGGCGACAGAGACGGTTGAAACCCCCTGCAGCGTTGGTTACCGGCCGAGTCCCATTCACTCGGGAGCAGAGAATGAGCAGGACGTTACACACGGGCTGCAGTTGCTCACGGCAGGATAAGCTCTAGGGCACGCCGTGGCTCGGGCTTTCCCATTGGTCCTGCCATTTCCGTTTGCTCACCTTTAAAAAATACAAAACAGGACCAGCCAGTGTTGCTCAGTGGTTGAGCGTCGACCTATGAACTAGGAGGTCGCGGTTCGATTCCAGGTCAGGGCACGTGCCCAGATTTCAGGCCCGATCCCCATTGTGGGGCGTGCAGGAGCAGCCGATCCATGGTTTTCTCTCATCATTGATGCTTCTCTCTCTCCTTCTCCTCTCTGACATCAATAAAAAATATATATTTATTTAAAAAAATACCGAACAGCAACCCCTGTGGATCCAGAGGTGCCCAGGCATAGCTCCCATGGCCTGGCGTCCTGACAGGCCCCGGTTACCCCCAGGCCTCTCGCCCCGCCCGGTGTCCAGGCTGCCGCTCTGAGCAGCTCTCCCAGGGGCCTGGCCGCCCCATCGTTTCCTGCACGGATCACGGAGTGAGCCTTCACGCTGGCGTGGGGGTTCTGTGACTGCGTAAATCCTGTCTCGTGGGTCTGGGCTTAGCGACAGGGGACACTGATCCTGCACAGAGAGATGAGCAGCGGCAGGTGAGCCGTGTTGCGGGAAAGCCAAGGACATGCTCACGCTCCCTGCAGGTCCGCATCCTCCTGGTGCCCGCGGAGAACCACGCCTACCAGATCCTCCACCGGCAGTCGGTGGACAAGTCCCGCGAGTTCGTCGCCAACTGTGGAGGGAATAGCTTTTATATTGAGTGAGTACTTCCTTGTGGAAAGGCCCTGGAGGGCATGCGGCTCTCCCACATTCCCATCCTAGAAGGTGGGGGCTCCCCGGGGCCTGTCCTCCCCTCTCTGCGCCCAGCAAGAGGCATGAGGCCGGGTCTGGGGCAGGGGGTGCCCTCTGTACGCCTTGTCCTATGATGGGTGCTGTCATGCACATCCGGGCAAGACCCCCACCCTCAACGGGGATCTCCACGAGGCACCCTCCCAGCGGGGATTCATGGTCACGCAGGAGTTTCTCTTCCCCTCGCTGCTTCCTGGGGTCCAACCCTGTTTCCTGAGACACCCCACGGGCACCTCCCCTGGGAGGCGTGTCGGACCCAGTGCCCACCCTCCTGTGCCACCTGACTGAGCAGGAGCCTCAGACCAGACAGACCCCCATCCTCTCTCCTGCTCCCTGATGCCCAGAGCCTGGTGCAGCCCGAGTGTCAGCCCCGGTCTCTCCACAGACCTGCCTGGGCCCCCACAGGATTCCTGGGGAACCCAGGTCCCTCAGGCAGCTGGGCGGCAGAAGTCCCTGAATATAAAATGCTCAGAGCAAAGACTCTGAAGTCAAGCAGCTGTGGATTTGAGTGCCTGCTCGGCGACCCTATAGCTCCGTGGCCTGGGGAATGTTGCTTACCCTCTAGGAGCCTCAGTTGCCCTATCTGTGAAATGGGCGTAGGCCAGCCTGGTGGCTGTGAGGTTAAGTGAGAGGTAGGGAAAGCTCTGGGCACACAACACTCAATAGATGTTGACGATCCACCTGCTCCTCCTCATTATTGCGATCAGTGTATCATTAGACACTTAGGTGTAAGTTCTTGGTAATGCTTTATTGAGATATAACCCACATCTTATACTACTCATCCTGTAGGTAAATTTTCACCCTGTTACCCCAGCCCCAAAGCTTTCCACCCCCAGCCTTAGATCTTGTGGGGTGTTCTGGAGTGGGGGGCAGGGGGCAGCTGTCCCTGGCTGTGTGTGCAGGGCTGGGGCTTTCTCCCACGTTCTCCCAGACCCCAGAGTCACAGTCCCTCCACAAGACCCTGCTGGTGGGCAAGCGGGAGGGCAGGTGGGATGTCACAGCTCCCAGGATGTGTGAGTCCTGTTTGTCTCCACAGCCCCCAGACGGCCTCCGGGTTCTGTAAGGACTCCGCCAGGTCCCTGGCGGCGCTCTACCATGAGGGCGCGCTGCCCTGTGAGTGCCACCCCGCCGGTGCTGCTGGCCCTCACTGCAGCCCCGAGGGCGGGCAGTGCCCTTGCCAGCCTGGCGTCATCGGTCGGCAGTGCACCCGCTGTCAAACGGGCTACTACGGATTCCCACACTGCAAACGTAAGTGCCCACTCAGCCATCCGGCGGCTCTGTCCCAGGTGCACGGGCTCCATGGGGCGGCCTCTGTCCCAGATGCACGGGCTCCTCTAGGGCAGTCTCTGTCCCAGGTGCACAGGCTCCTGAGGGGGAGTGGAGGCAGGGCCAGGGGCTACCACGCCCTGAGCCAGAAGCCTGCAGACCTTATCTAAGACCCATCCTGCTGCCCCAGAAGCAGGTTCATCCTGCTGCCCGAGATGTAGCCTCGGCACAGAGTCTCCACATGAGACCAGCCTTGCCAACGGGTCCTGCTCCTGATCCCAGCCTGGCCCAGGGCTCCATGCACTGGGGTTGGATGCACTGGGGTGCATTGGGTGCATTCGCCTGCTAGTTTGGAGCCCCTTTGGGAGCCTCCAGGGACTGCACAGGCCCCTCTGGACCTCTTGCATGGACTCTGGATGGGCCACTGCTCTCCTGTCTCCTTTTAATCCCAGCTGTCACACCAGGAAAGAGATGGCACATGCACACGATTTTCTGGAAGGACTTTGGCAAAGGGACTGTTGACAGGTGTGAGAGCAGGCAGCCAGCCAACCAGGGAGGTGGCACCCCAGAAACAGACCATCCAAGGTCGCAAGGGGGCAGGGCTACATGAACATGCAATAGTGGGCACGTGAACAAGGGGGCGGGGCCATGTGAACACACTGGAGAAGTCGCCTGAGGATGGAGGAGGGGCCACGTGAAGATGGAAGGGATGCAGCCAGGAGCCCCCAGAAGCTGAAGAGGCAGGAAGGACCCTCCCCTGGAGCCCTCTGAGGGAGCACAGCCCCCGACGCCCTGATTTCAGGTTCTGGCCCCAGAAGGGGGAGAGCACATGTTCCTGTGGGTTGAGGCCAGTTTGTTGTCATGGGAGCAGCAGCCCAAGAAATAGACCCTCCTTCCCCTCCTTCTGGGGCTTTGACCGGGTTCTGGGCACAGCTGGGCCCTGTTCCCAGCAGGGCAGACCCCCTAGACCTCCCCCTGCAGGGCTCCCGGGGAGACCATCCCTGTGTCTGTGCCTCGGCCTTGCCTCCCTCTCCCCGGGCTCCTGGGCAGCGACAGTGCAGTGGGCGCACCAGGCAGCTGCTGGGTGGGAAGCGCAGGCCACGCGCTCAGGGACTCCCCGTCCCTGCGGAGCCCCCAGTGGCAGGACAATGCAGGGTCCTCCCCGGCCCCGCCCTCCCCTCCCGGGCCTTCCCCTCCTGAGTCCAGCTGGGCCTCCGCTTCCTGGGGCACCTGGGTCGACAGGAGCCAGCAACTGGGTGGTGGTGCCCATATTCCAGATGCCAAAACTGAGGCTCAGAGAGGGGAGCAGAGGGCCCTACCCCCAGCCCACCTCCCCCTCCACTCAGCCCAGCTCACAGGTGTTTCCCCAGCTGCCGCCTGGTTGCCATGGTGTTGGAGGAGGAGGAGGAGGAGATTCCTGAGAAGCAATCCCAGCAGCTGACCCTCCTTCCTCATCCCTCTCTCCAGCTTCAAAGCCTCCTTTTGGGCAGGTAGGCGGGGTCTCTTCCTGGCCAGGCAGCCAGGAGCAAAGGAGGTCAAGGAGGCAGAGGGTCCAGGTAGTGAGTTCTGGGACGCCAACCTCACCCAGCAGCTTTCCTGGGCCTGGGCTCCATCGCCCTCCCACAGTTCCCAAACCAGGAGGGCTGTGTCCTGCCTCCCTGCCTTCGCACATGCAGTTCCCTCCACCTCGAATGCCCTTCCTCGTCCTTCAGGGCCCAGCTCCGCTTTAACTCCACTGGAGAACCTTCCCTGAGTCCCTTGGGGCTCCCCCTGCATCCTGCACCCGCCCCAGTCACAGCTGTTTTCTGGGTGATGCTCTCACGGGGCGGTGAGGTCTTGGGGTGCTAGCTCTGCCTTTGTACCTCAGCCCCTGGCACAGACAGGTGCTGAGTAAATCCAGAAGGAAGGGAAGGAGGGAGGGAGAGAAGGGAGCAAAGAAACACCTCTCATAGGATTGGAGCGGATCTGGACCGTGAGCACCTGGTCAGGGCTGGGCACAGAGCAAAGCCCACTCCCTTCCTGCCGCCTCCGCCTGAGCCTGGGCTCCAGCACCTTCCGCCTCACTTGTGTCACCCGTGTCACACATCCTCCACCAGGAGCCTTCAACAGGGTCAGCCTCGGCCCGAGAAAGGGCCTTCATGTCGGCTCCCATCAACAGTGCCACCATGAAGAGAGCCTGGCATTTTCCGCCCTTGGAAGCTTCTAGAATCCTGGCCGTTGGTGCAGCCCTGCTGGGTCAGGCAGCATCTCACCTGCATGTCTCTCTCTGTCCCTGCAGCGTGCAGCTGCGGCTGGCGCCCCTGCGAGGAGACGACGGGGCGGTGCCTCTGCC